AGATCTTCATCATAATCTGCCTAACAGTGGTGGTCATCATTTTGATTGTTATTTTGGTAACGAGCATCTAAAATTGAGATACGAGAGAGAGAGAGAGAGAGTACCTGGCTGCACATTGTATAAATAATAAATAATTGTTATCACCGAGAACCGTGAAATGTGGCATTTTTCTGGCTCGTATTGCACCACAATGTCACAAGTACGACGCGTCGAAAAATGTCCACGTTTCAAAAGCCTCCAGAGAGCCTTGCTCGTTCCAATTATTTTTCATCCCGAGCCACAATGTTTCATCAACGTGAATTATTATACTCCAATCTGTCCGTTTTTCTCCAGCTATCATTGGAACGAGCGAAATCTCGTTACGGCATTGAATTCCCGCGTGCAGCGAAGATTAATAATGTCACTTACATCCCCAACGCAATGTGTGCTCGAAGCGCGAATCACCGCAGCTGGAAATTCATGCGATTCTCGGCGCGTACACCTACATGCCACGGATATTGGCGCTTCGACAAACAACGAGCGTCTATATATATATATATATATATATATAAACATGGGCATGTAGCGATTCGTAGGTTAAAGTATATGTGTATGTGACACACGAGCTCGCCTGCAAGTCGACACTGCCACGATGCGTCGTGCGTACCTATATGAGTAAATGAACTGAAGAATGTACAATTGTTGAGAAACATTTTTTAGATCACGCAACATCATCGCAGTAGGGCTGTTCTGGCTTCCGTATCTGCGAAAATTTTTATTCCATTTAATCGCTTTTCGATACGTTTGCTCGGTACCCGTGAGAAATTCGATCTGCTTATGATTGCGGGGATTGTCCGTATTGGCTTGTTTTTCTGGTACTTTGCATTATACCGTGGGTCTTGAGAAATTTCAAAGGGGTGACGATTTTCTTACAAGTACTTTGAAAATGTAAAGAAAAAAAACGTGGAAAATACGGGCAAAGCCTTTCAATTTCAGCGAATGTCCTTCGTCGGGTTCTTTTTCTACTTTCGAGTTTCGCGTCTCTGGGAAAAAAAATTAAATGAGAGGAATAAACAAAGCCCGGAAAGCGTCACTGCAAACTCTTCGTCTTCTTGTAAATATTTCAATTTGTATAGAACTACGGAAAGTGGTGGGTGATATCGGCAAAACGCGACGCGAATACCCCACGGAAGGAGGAGAAAATCACCGTGCGCGCGTCTTTTGATTCACGTAGTTTCATAAAGTATGATAATCAAACGATGAAGAAAAAAAAGGGAAAAAAAAGAAAAAAATAAATAAAGTATAATTCTCACGTGATTTTAGAATCGATCATTTTCATGGAAACTGCATTTAACGAGACCTAATAAATGATAAAAAATATAATTACGCACCTCCTAGCTAAACGTGTATAATATGAATAATGACATAAAGGGGGTAGGGTATGTGATTTAATAATAGCGCGTGAAAAAAAAAAGAACTTCTTGGTACGAACGAACGAATCATCCGGCGTGGTATCTTAAGATCGAAACAATTGCTTTCTCTCGCCCGTGCGTTAGTATATATGAAAAAAAAAAAAAAAAAAAAAATGTAAGGTGTGAACGGACAAACTAGAAACATTATACAAATCTCACACGGCAATACTCCAAGGGGACAAGAAATCGAGACCACGATGAAACAGATAGTAATAATAATGATAATAATAATTAAAAAAAACAAAAAAACAATAAAGAAACAATAAACATCACCTGCGAACGATCGGAGCAAATGCAGTTGCGGTGCAAGAGCGGTATCGTTGTCACGATGGTGGCAAGAAAGGGCGAGAGGCACACAACCGTAGGGAAAAATTGGAAGACGGAAGCACAAAAGGATGAGAAGAATTCTCGCATCGATCGGCTGGAAGAGGGACCCGCATGGTATATGCACCTATGACGACGTCTTCGTGGCGACGTCTTCGGTTCGTCGCGGCGTCGCTTAGAGTCATTTTAGAGAGAGAAACAGAGAGAATCGCTCCGCCGAGAAAAGAGTAAGTAGTCAACAGCTAAGCAGCAACAAAATTTAGCACATACATGTATACGACATAAACAGCCAGTGGCACTCACGTTGGAGCCGCTGAATATATGTATCTCTCTCTCCATATATATATACATACCTTTTCTGTTGTCTGTACATATACACCTATTGTGTTATATTATATACATAGATTATATATATAAATTTTTGCGTATGTGTAATTATCGATGTTATATTGTTATAACTAGCCTATTTGCTGTTGTTGTGATTCTGTTTCGCGCGCATCGGTCTCTTACACCTACCGTCTGTCCATCAATTATTATCATTATTATTACTATCATTTATCTATAGCATATAAACATATCATCTGTCTTCCGTGTCACCTCATCCGTATTATCTGTGTACCTATTTTTCAGCGGAGCAAAGCAGACGTATGAATATTATGATTCTTGACACCCTATATACTTGTGAAATAATAAAAGCCACAGCCTACTACCCCTAGCCCTACTTTACTATCTTTTTATATGTATATCTATTGTTGTCAACGAGAATGCGACTCTTGATGTTGTTCGACTGTTTGATTATACATGCATTTTTACTATCTCCTCTTGTTGTAAGTGTTGTACGATCGATGTGTCTATATATTATTATTATACAATAGTGCGATTTCAGTGCGAAATTCAGTTAACAGCATTTTAATTAGTTTCCTTTTTTTTTTGTCACCTACATATGCATAATATGTAGACCATGCTTTTATTGAATCAATTCTGATACATACCAACGTTACTCCAAGTTATTTAAGTGAAAAACTGATATTTACGTGATCCTGTAATTTATGCTGCAAAACTTTTAAACCCTCTTACTATGCCTTAGATACGGCTTATGTGAATTTCGCACTGACACGGTGCAGTTACCGATTATTATTATTATTATTATTATTATTATTATTATTATTATTATTATTTATGATACGTAACTATTATTATGAATCGTTTTTATTAACCAATGTTCTTCCTTGCTAATTTTTTATTTTAAAAAACCCATTGATTTTTCGTGTTTAAATCGAAACAGAATGCCCATACTGAGCGATGTTGTACGATTTATTTACACGAAAGATCGGCGTCAAAGTTTATTACTTTTGCATTTTTTTTGTAAAATATTTCGTTTGTGTAGAAAAATTTATAATTTATTCGACACGTTTAATTACTTACGCACGCATGCAAAGCATCGATGATTATTCTATTTTCTATCTTAATTAGATGTATTTTCGTCACTCATCTTACGTGCATGTGTCTTAAAATTTATTAGCGGCAGTTGAAAATTAGAGAATCATGAATTTTCTGCTTGTGTAAATAATTACAAGTATTGATAGATATTTATTATATTGTTTATTAAGTCGTTAAGATATTAGTGTCTAGTTGGCACGATAATTTGCTTGATTACTTAATTATGTGCAGTATGAAAAAAAAAAAAAAAAATAAAGCATATCATTTTAAGCACTTGCCTGCCTACTGCATAGGGAGTTCCCACTACTGTCAATAAGAGAGTGAAATAAAATGAAACTATGAGGGGAACACCTTAGTGAAATTTTAGCTCAGATACACGTAGTTCATTAAATTGTATACAGCAATCGTTAAATTTATACCTCCGTTTAAAGAATAAATTTTTTATTTATTAGTTTGTGGGCCATCAGTAAATGTTTGAATCTCTGAATCTCGTATTTATGTAATAATACACCTGAATTTGTTCCTCGTTTCAAAGTTGTTTCTCATATCTAATCAAGAGACGAAAATATGTTTTTAACTTTTGATAACTTAAAAATTTTCAATTTTTTCCGCAAGAGACAAAGTTAAATATTTTTAAATCACCTATCTTTAACAGAATATGTAAACCTACAATCTACAACCTACCTATCTGGTCCATTAATCTTTTATAGAAGGATCCTTTAAAAGTGAGTCCAAGTATCAATTTAATGGTTGCATTTTTATAAAAAAAAAAAAAACTAGTTTAACGCTTATGTCATTCAATTTAAGAAACATTTTTTTTTTAAATAACGAAGTCAATACATCTTTTAAAAAGGTTTTATTTAAGTATTTAAAGTGGGTTGAACGAAAAAGTGATAGTAAAACCCACGTTTTTTCCTGTTTACAACAATTATCGATGTCATGTTCATGAATTTACAATTATTACTATCATGATTATATCTACTAGAAAATAGTTGATTATTAGAATGTGTAAATAAATGTTTCTATTTAACAATCAAATGGTATTGTTTTGTTGCACCTTAATTGAATTCCGTCATTATTTAAACCTCATTCCGAATAGTATATATATATATATATATATATGTCGATTGTCG